TCATTTTCTATTTTTAGGTGAAATGTATAAAACTGTACAATACAATAAATAACCTGTGATTATGAAATACATATTTCATTGACGGATTTATGAATTGTCTATTGTACTGAAGTACACTAATAAATAATTGTGCTAGTAATTATCTGCAAGTGGCTCATGTATCAAATCACCCCCTAAATTCTTTTATTTGCCCTTAAAAATGTTAAAAATACCTTTTTTTATGGAAAAATCATCTTCTTTGCGGAGCAGTCTCTCCCTTCCCAATGCATTTTATAAGCCTCTACCAATCTACAGTGCTTTTTTCAGCTAATATAATGGAGTTCGATTGCGAGTAATAAAATAGAAAGATAGAGATGAACTATTGAAGAATGAATGGATAAATGAGTAAGTGGGTGGATGCTTTGACTAGAGAAATGAATGAATAAATGAACGAACGAGTGAGTGGATGAATTAAGGAATTATTGATTGGTTGATTGATTGAATGAAGTGAATGGTCTGCTGAATTGATGGATAAATGAAGTGATAAATATGAACGAGTATGAATGAATGAGTTGGATAGGTTGAATTAACCGAATTCGAATGAATGAATGAGTGATGAACTGATTGGACTGATTGAGTAAACGAATAAATGGATGGTTTGATGGAGATAAACATGAATGAAAAAAATGAATGAATGAATGGGTGAACAAATAATTGAATAAGCACCGAATGATGATTGAATGAGTTGGCTGATAAATTAGAAAGTCTCAGCTAGTTGATTTCACAATCCTACGTCGCTTAACTTAACACGGCAACGGGTTCTTGATTAGCGCTTGCACTAACTATTCGTCGAGAAAACTCGTCACCTAACTAACTTGTACTACTTGACTTACTGGCTCGTTAGCTATCTGCTCTTCATTGAGAATTGAATCTAAGTGCACGTATCCTAAATTGCTGTCTATTTGGGATCATGGATTACTACGCATCAATTAACTGCAGTACAAATAAACACCTCGGGGATCGTGGCTAAACAGAGCAGTAGCAGGCATGATTTAATGTTTGCACACGCGCGTATCTGGAAGAGCACGAATAACAAGTGCTGTACAAAGCCTTTCGGATTTGCACATGTAAAAATTGCAGGAAGGATGAAAACCGGAAATCAGAAAAACTCTGTGTACACATGCCATATGCCATTAGTGATCTAAGAAGGATAAGATCATTTTGGGATTTCCTTAAGAGATGTCTTTTCAGGCTCAAAGTTGTACGAGTCCTGATTTCTTTGAGTGAGCGAGGCACATGGCTGACCTGCAAAATCAAAGAATGGAAAGTGCAAAAATAAGAACAGTGCGATAAGGATAAATCATATGTCATAAATCATATACAAATGTAAAATGGAATAACTCCTTACAAATGATGTATACTTATTAACTATTAAGGTACTAGATCGCGTACCTGCACTACTATACATTTTATTTTTCCCGAAAGAAAATTTTTCAGACTGCTATGGGAACATTTGTATGTATATAATTGAATCCATGATCCGAGAATGATTTGAAGGATGAGTTACGTCGAAACAAAACTTATGGCTATTCATAAAGGTTCCTTTCTAAACTATTCATATGTCGAAGCATCAGGGCCATGGCAGCTCTCTACTGCTCTCTTTGATTTTCTTGAAAATAAGTACCTCTTATAAATAGTAGAAGCGGAAAGATGAAAAACTCGCATAGCCGTCTACAAATGGTCAGGTTAAAGCCGCCAGTGTGTGTAGAATGTCGTTGGGATCCAAACATTCAAACATCTAATGTTTAAGGGTAGAAAATTTCTGTATTCTAAATTTGAAGTGGAAAGAGAAAACAAATTCCATTTGAAGTTTCGAAGTGATGAAAATGTTACTCAAAAGATCTTTGAGTTCCTTCTAAGCATTCTTTCAAATCTTTGGGAGTTTTCCCTAACTTACTTTGATTCATGTCATGACATAAAGATTACGCAACAAACAACTGTTTCTTTCTCATGTACAATCAAAAAAATCAAGCGTGGTTTCATTTTGATAATACTTCGTTTCAAACCCATTCAAAATTAAAAATAAAATGCAATAAATTGTCAAAATATTGAATTCAAAAAATCATACATTATTTACATTATGTAAGCGAAATGCGATTCAGACAAAAGTTACTGTTCGGATTAAAATCTCAATAGTTTAGATCTTACTGAATAAATTTTAGT